ACTGTCTACAGAAACAGCACATTACGTCATTTTTCGCCAGACACGTCAATTTAATATCCTTTCGGATTCCCTCTGCGATGTCTGGAGTCCTCTCGCGTCATCTGACTCAGTTCGATTGGTTTGATACGGTTTATATATAATGCGAACTAGATAGTTTTACCGATAGATACGGAACGGAACCCTGTACTCAGTCGGTCTGTGAGCATTTGATTGGAGTTAATTTAGTAGTTAACATTTACGAAAAACAGATATCTCGACAATCGATTTACCATTTAACATTAAAGTTTGCTTCTTAACAGATAATGTAACTATCTTCTGCACGTGACGCTATCCATTGAGGTTGATTTGATTCCTACCCATTTCATTTATTTACTTTATCATGCTAATACATAATAGCATGAAAAACAAAAAACATACATGTATCATATAATTAAGATATTTTTCGAGGTATTTTATGAGTTCGCTTCGTATTTTTAATATTATGCAATAACCTGTATAGATATAAACTTCGATGTGTTTTTCTAGCAATACTTTTTTTTATAATTTGACATATTAAATTTGAGCACGCATTCCACACAAAAATGAACAGCTTGTTAATTACGTGATTCATTCAGCGTACACATCTTAATTAGCAAATTACATACACATTTATCAAACATACCTTTCAACTACTTTCCTGTAATTAATAATATTTAGGCACTTAATTTTTTTCCCCATTAGACGTTCGATCTATATTTGGGAAATTCGGATCTTATTTGATAGTGAAAACTAAGTAAAATGTGCTACATGCGTTTTCTAAATAGCGACATTTTGCCAAAATCAACGAAAGCCTATTTTAATTCTAGATGCCACAGGGGCCTGAGAATTAAGACACAGTATGAGTGATTGGACCTCTCCTGACGTGTAGGGAATATTATCAGACATTTTAGGAGCTTATATCCCCATTGATGGTATGTACACGTAGTAATGCTTATATATTATATATCATCAATGAAGGATGTTTTTTACCAAGTGTTAACAACTATACCGCATAATGTTACTTCATACACATTTAAAAGAGGTCCCAACATACATACTCTGCTCTTCGCAAGCCCTTGTGTAACATATTTCAATTCGCCACTTCAAAATTTAGAAACGTTATTTATGGTAAACAGAATCGCTCTGGTCACGAAAACATATATTCTGGTAACGTTGCTAAGGGTATAGTCGGGCATAGACACAGGGACTTTCTCGTCACGCGAGATTTGTCTTTCTGAGCGTGTCATTAACGCAGACAAGTCTCACTTTATTACCCATTGATGTCAAACTTGTTAATGATACTGTCATTTTTTCTTCCCCACTCAATCATTACGTGCAATTGTGTCATGCATATTTTAACGTAAATTCAACGTCACTTCCGGTAACTAAATGTGTATACAAACTTCAACGGATTTACAAAAACTAGAAAATTCATGTATGACCCGAAATAAATGCTGCGACATTTATACGATATATGTATACATGAATTATTATTTGACATGTTTATTTGTGTTCAAAACTACTTTTTAAATAATTGTATATTCATTTGTGACGCTAACTTTGGCTAGAGGGAAAATGCTCATAGCAAGCACGACCTGACACATTCTACGCAGTAAACGTGCATCATGATCAATTTAGTGGTGTATATTTAACTTTTTATAAAGTTAAAACCTTGTTCTGCAGATCAGTACATATATAAAATGACGTCATATACGTTTTTATAAAGGCTAGTTTCGTAGATAAGCATCTCACCTGAGATAAACACGGAATCAAAGTCACACAGCTATTGGCTCATATAAAACTCAGGAACTGGTTTAATTAAATGATAGAAAATAAAATGCTCATCCACTTGGCCACCATGACCCTTGTGGAAACACACCTTTTGTATCTACTAGTTTATTGTAAACAAAATCCAGATATTACCTCATATACATGCGAAGAATTGATTTAAATTGATATACACCGATGTTTTCTGCTTAGACGAAGAAGTGTGTATACCGTAACAGATGATTGAGTTTTTAAGATGCTCTTATCATTCACGACGACGACAGACATGATTTATTCTAATAGAATGCAGCTAATCATCATGATTGATCACTTAAGACTTCCTGTAGGTTTGTTACACGTACATTTACATATCAATTAACATATCACCGGCTGTAAATGATGTATCCTCGCCTGACCCCACTTACTCTCTTCAATAACAAAAACTAGCTTAGTTTAGACAAGCTAGCCCCATGTTAACTCTGAATGTTTGTAAACCTTTACTTAATTTCGCTTATGTACCTGTAAACACACATACAAACCCGTATCACACGTTAATTGTAAAACACTGCAAAACATTGTTAACCGTTTAAACACATTTTTAATATGTAGAAAACATCGCTAACCACTAGAACACTGTAGAACACACTGCTAAACTATAGAACACACTGTTAAACTGTAGAACACACTGTTAAACTGTAGAACACACTGCTAAACTGTAGAACACACTATTAAACTGTAGAACACACTGTTAAACTGTAGAACACACTGTTAAACTGTAGAACACATTGTTAAACTGCAGAACACACTGTTAAACTGTAGAACACACTGTTAAACTGTAGAACACACTGTTAATTCGTAGAGCGAACTGTTAACTATAGAACACATTGTTAAACTGTAGAACACACTGTTAATTCGTAGAACACACTGTTAAACTGTAGAACACATTGTTAAACTGTAGAATACATTGTTAAACTGTAGAACACACTGTTAAACTGTAGAACACACTGCTAAACTGTAGAATATACTGTTAAACTGTAGACCACATAATTAAACTGTAGAATACACTGTTAAACTGTTGACCACATAATTAAACTGTAGAACACACTGTTAAACTGTAGAAGACACTGCTAAACTGTAGAACACATTGTTAACTATAGAATACACCGTTAAACTGTAGAACACACTGTTAAACTGTAAAACACATTGCTAAACTGTAGAACACACTGCTAAACTGTAGAATATACTGTTAAACTGTAGACCACATAATTAAACTGTAGAATACACTGTTAAACTGTAGACCACATAATTAAACTGTAGAACACACTGTTAAACTGTAGAGCAGATAATTAAACTGTAGAACACACTGCTAAACTGTAGAATATACTGTTAAACTGTAGACCACATAATTAAACTGTAGAACACACTGTTAAACTGTAGAACAAACTGTTAAACTGTAGAACACACTGCTAAACTGTTTAACACACTGTTAAACTGTAGAACACCCTGCTAAACTGTAGAACACCCTGTTAAACTGTAGAACACACTGTTAAACTGTAAAACACATTGCTAAACTGTAGAACACACTGCTAAACTGTAGAATATACTGTTAAACTGTAGACCACATAATTAAACTGTAGAACACACTGTTAAACTGTAGAGCACACTGTTAAACTGTAGAACACACTGCTAAACTGTTTAACACACTGTTAAACTGTAGAACACCCTGCTAAACTGTAGAACACACTGCTAAACTGTAGAACACGCTGTTAAACTGTAGAACACCCTGCTAAACTGTAGAACACCCTGTTAAACTGTAGAACACACTGCTAAACTGTTTAACACACTGTTAAACTGTAGAACACACTGCTCAACTGTAGAACACATTGTTAACTATAGAATACACCGTTAAACTGTAGAACACACTGTTAAACTGTAAAACACATTGCTAAACTGTTGAACACACTGCTAAACTGTAGAACACACTGTCAAACTGTAGAACACACTGTTAAACTGTAGAACAAACTGTTAAACTGTAGAACACACTGCTAAACTGTAGAATACACTGTTAAACTGTAGACCACATAATTAAACTGTAGAACACACTGTTAAACTGTAGACCACATAATTAAACTGTAGAATACACTGTTAAACTGTTGAACACACTGCTAAAATGTAGAACACATCATTAAACTTTATAACACACTGCAACATTTTGTTAACCTTTATAATCAATTTGACATGAATTGTCGCCCATTTCCTTTATAATATATCCAAATAAAATATAATCGATCGGTACGAATCATACACACTCGAACACTGGAAACACAATAAAGCAGTGAAAAAAGGAGTTTAGCAATAAAAAAAAACAATGTTCGGGTGTGCCGTATTCTACTTGTTCAAATGTGTTATATGAATTACACTTTCTTTCAATTTGAAAGTTAAATCATTGAAATACTAAATAATCAATCTACAACCGTAAGATTCATTTGGATTAGAAATAAAAACTGATGATATTAAATGGACTGGTGTTATTAGATGACGCGGTGTACTAACCAAACTCCATGCGCAGGTAACATTTAATTGTCAGCCAATCACGACGCGTTTCCTTGTACAACTAAACCACTACACGATACGCATAGGTTTTTATAATGTTTACTCTATCATATAGAAAATACAAATTAACGAAAACAGAAAAAATATCGATATCAGCAATTTTCCATTTTAAAGTTCTAAAATGAATAACGAATTTGAAATCTAAGGTAAATATTGAACTTGAAAAATAAAACAAATGAACAAACAAACAAAAAGAAGAAAAGAAAATCGTGTCCCTGGGTAATAAATCGTCTTACATTATTTCTTAAGATACATAGTATACTCAGTCTTATTAACACCGTACGTTGTTAGACAAGTGATGACGTCATCAATTGATGACATCATTTTGAATACAGATCAGTCTATATTGGTGAGCAGAAATTTGTCAATGAAAGAATCGTTTATCCAGATATAACATACAGGTATAACGTTTATATCTAAGCTTGAAATAGATATCAAACGCACATGATGACGTAGTTGGTAGTTTTGAAGGTGTGAATGCTAACAACTGAACAATGAGAGCAATACTATCAACATTTTTTGGAAATCAACCGTCGCTCAACATCGAGATAAAAATAGTTTTGAGATAAATATCAGATTTGATAAGTGAAAACTGAACTTACCTCGAATGATGTCACTTTGTTTTCGTTTGCCAAATGTTTTGTTGTGGTAGGAAACTTTTTCGACCACAAGTTTGTACTTGCTAGTGGATGCATTCTGTGCTAAAAATTGCCCCACGTGCGTTTCATTTAAAGCTTCAGTGTGAAACGTGACCGGATTTCCACACGAATCCGGGGGTGCACCATAAATAAACCCATGTACAGCACAGAAAAAAATACTGACAAGGAAAGTCGTCAGCATCAGTCTCCTCCCCCCTAACTGGCACATAACATCCCCGGCCATTTTCACAACAGAGAGTTAAGTCACAGACAGAGAAACCAAACGACTTCTCACCTGGGGTCACGTGACTATAAAGGTAACATGTGCATGTCAGGTAAGGAGCTGTCAATCACTAACAGGTAAGACAATCCAATACGGGGTCAAATGTCATCTAAACGAAGAGACAACTCTATACACCTGTAGCGTACAATGATGAATCTGTTACTGTCGACACTGGTCGTAAAACTTGAAATGTCAACAACGGCTTTGTTAGCCCCTGTGTGACCAATAGCAACGTCCCTCAAAGCACACGTGGTGTCACTTCAATGACAAAAAAACTCTAATGACTTAAACATGTAGCCATGTTAGGGAAAATTTAGTAATGATACACGGGGGCAATACAAACATATAAAAACTGTCCTTCACGAACAAATAAGCGACGGAGCGCGATTGTCATACGATCAACCGTCATCGATGGTTAACGGTCAGTCTTGATATAATGGGTGAAATACATAGCTCCAGGCCCAATATTTATTTTTTCTTTATCTCACAGTCAACAACAAATTATAATTTTATTAGGAAATATTAATCCTGTGTAAAACTAGTAAATATACACGGAAAACGTAAAATCAACATGTAAGGACATGTTCAGGGGCCAAAGAGACACCAAAATTAAACGAAAGGCACCATTAACCCCCATAGTTTGATAAAAATACCTCACCCAAACAATTCAACACAAAAACAATTCGTTAATAACTATACAACATTAAATTCCTTGAATACTTGATTTGTGAGAACGACTTATATTCATGATTGGCAAGGACATGAACTACAGACCACCGAAAAGTGTACAGTATATTCTGTCGTTTTTGTACAAAATATAAATGCATGTGATTATTTACATGTGGTTTTGCTCGTAAAAGCCCACCTACTTATAATACTTGAACGAATGACACAAATGCATTGTAACACACGTACATACAAACAATGTAGTTTTACTTAAATCTCACCAGACATTTCCCCCTGCGAGCTTGACGTGCGAGACATGTACTCCATAACCTAGTGTTAGGAACGTGACAACCTAACTTTAGGTATGGGGAAATATTATCTTGTATTCAATCCTTACTTTAATCTAGGATACGACCTCTGTAAAATATTGTACAAGCATATGGCACGCGCAAAACAACAGCTCAAAATTACATTAAAGCTTGACGCGTTTAAAAGTGAACTCCAATCTAAAACACAATTAAAAGGTAAAAGAATATTATAGCTCACGTAAAGATCAGCATAGATACCACACTTGTAATATCACACATATGCTAACTTTACCTGAAGTAATACTGAAAACAGTCTTCAAAACTTCTCCTGAATATGAAATAAGCGAGCAAACTCGTTCATACTTTTCAACCTAAGAAACGAAATGAAAGTAAAACATTATATACAAACGAAACTCCAAACTTGAGAAACACCATCCAGCATTTTGATTGTCGTTACAAATAATAGTTACCTAGCAACTACGGAAAACAACAATTGCTAAGCGACTATGGGAAAGCAATATGGGAAAATCGTGACTATCTAGTGATAATTATGGAAAACGATTCTTATTTCTTGGCAACTATGGTAAACAATCCCCTTCGCCTAGCAACTATGGGAATTAGTTCTGATTTTCTTGAATGGCAAAATTCGAAATCCAAATATTTCTATATGAAGTGCGAAACTCTTGTATTTAAAAGATGTGAATGACGAACTACAACCATGATTGCCCGTTGCAACTTTTGGTAACAAACTGTGGTTGCCTAGCAACCGTCGGGAAACAGAAGTGTTTGCCTTGCAAGTGTGGAAAATATGGGCCTGATTGATGTTGGGAAATACAAAGGTGAGCAGTAATGTTCTTACAAAGAGAACTCTTGCGTTTGACACGAAACTGACATTGTTTGCAAGGTGATATTTCCTTAAGGTATATTTATAGCGGTCAAATGGCCAAGTAGCTGAAGTTAATATGTCGCCAGTGGGCAATTTATTTGTCATTCCCAAAACCATGTCCGAGCAGAGTGACCACTGTCCACACCTGTCACTGACAGGGGCTGTCACTAGGGGTTAACAAGTAGGGAAAATAAAGATATTTATTACATGACCATTGGTTACTCAGTCTCGGGTCCTGACCCTTTGTATCACAATGCGCTTCAGACTCAGATCATCGGGCTAGCTTTAAACAAATGCTAATGACGTTACGCGCGAAGTTGGTGACACCTTGTGTAACGTAAAATGACGTCGTTTTTATAATATTGTATGTCTCTTTTAGACGTTTTATCATATTTTGCATCATTTGGCATGTCCGCCTTATACGCTACCGTGCGGACAAAGAAAAATGATCAACATGAGCTGATAAACAGTTTTCGTAATTGTTGTGAAACAAATAAAGTTTCAAATTTGGTCGGAATTAGGAGGTGAAGATATAGATGTGGTTGTGGGCACAGTGTTATATTCTCAAAATCGTTTCCATTGTTTCAGAACGAGCCGGTTGCCCCAGTTTTGGATTTTTGCTATACGTGTATATATAAAAACAGAGAATAAGTATCAACGTCAGATATCTGTAATTTTTACTTTATTTCTTACAATTCTATTTATAAGTATTGACTTTATCAACGTAAAAGTGTTTCAAAAATTGTAATGACGTATTCAATCTATAATTCGAAATAATAAAATGGCCTCACAATTTCTACTGATATTTGACACTCTAAATTTTGACCAACGTTATTCCCGTTATGTCGCCCAAGTGGGACATTTTACGGAAATTGGACAGTGTATTGATATTTTTTCATTATTGATCCCTTCACAAAAGTGAAAAGTGTTTCATTCTATCCAGTTAAGACAAATTCTTTATAGGACAAAATTGTTTCATTTTCTGTTTTGTAATTTAATATTATACGTCATCAAAGTTTCAATTTATGCAAAATGTACGTAAAAAACAACTACTGGGCAAATTTCGGAATTTTTAATTTTGCATGTTTTAGAAGAAAACGTTCTTTCAGATAGATAATTTTCTTTGTATGATAATTTCGACAAAGACACATTACAAATATATATGTATATATCTCAAATATCTTTCAATATCCTCCTGTCAACACGATAGATTCACGCCAACCTTCCTGCTGGGTAAGCGTTACAATAAGTTACTAGCGGTTTGGAGAAGATTTTGGTAAATACGCCGATCACTGATCACAATGAAACTTTTTATGTCATCTGTGACGTCATTTCTGCTTCCGTTAATGTAGTTATTTTAAAAATCTCTGCATACTTTTGGCGCGAATTTATGGAATTTCGTTGAAACGTCTTACCCCGTAGATGTTACGCGTTACACGAGTTATTGTGACGTTTTCGAGGTTGTTAATGTGGAACAGAATTCTTCATGTTGTGAATGAGTTTAAAAAATAGTTTTCTGTGATATATAATATGATATCAAGTTCTGAAAATTGAATAATACAGCGATACTTTTAGCGTACGCCATGCGTGTTTTGAAGCGGTGCCACCAACATCGCGCGTAACGTCATTCTAATGAGTACTTAGAGATATTGCCGCCATATTTGTGTATCCTGCTGAGTGATACTTCGGTGTCGTTACTCGCACGTCGTCGTCTTCACAAATGGATTCAATGCGACAACTGTCGAAATAATGCTTTGATTTTGTGTTGCGTTGGCGCCACATCTCTGAAAATCAACATGGCCGCCGGCGGCCATCTTTGATTTTGCTAAAACTACCCTGGTTCCTGTGTGATCACAATAAAGGATTCCTTTGATGTTCTTGAAATGATTTACACTTACATTTACCTGTTATATCAATTAATCCGCTATTAGACACAAAGGTCAAAAGTAAATTCCTCTCCTCCTTATATCATTTAAAGAAGAGAGATAATAAATATATTAAGAACGGCAAAAAGTTAATATACAGAAGGGAGACGTGATTATATAAATAAGGGAGATATGGTTATGTAAAGAAGGGGTTATGATTATATGCAAGAACGAGGAAAAGATTTTGTGAACAAAAGAAGGTAGTATTATATAAAGAAGGGAAAAGTGAGAAATTGTTATAAAAAAGTGAGATACGATTATAAAAAAGTGAGATACAATTATATAAAGAGCAGAGAAACGATTATATGAAGAGGCGAGATACGATTATATAAAGAGGAGAGATACGATTATAAAAAGAAGGGAGATTCGATTATATAAAGAAGGGAGATGCGATTATATAAAGAAGGGAGATACGATTATATAAAGAGGAGAGATACGATTATAAAAAGAAGGGAGATACGATTATATAAAGAAGGGAGATGCGATTATATAAAGAAGGGAGATACGATTATATAAAGAGGAGAGATACGATTATAAAAAAGAGAGATACAATTATATAAAGAGGAGAGAAACGATTATATGAAGAGGAGAGAAACGATTATAAAAAGACGGGAGATACGATTATGTAAAGAGGCGAGAACCGATTATAAAAAGAGGGGAGATACGATTATAAAGAGGGGAGATATGATTATAAATAGAAGAGAGATATGATTATCAAAAAGGGAGATATGATTATATAAAGATGGGAGATATGATCATATAAAGAGGGGAGATATGATTATAAAAAAGGGGGAGATACGATTATATCAAAAAGGGAGGTATGATTATTGAAAAAAGAAGATATGATTATATAAAGAGGGGAGATACGATTATAAAATTATAAAGAGAGGAGATACGATTATATAAAAATAGAGATTCTATGATGTTAAGATGGTCGATACGATATTTAAAAAAGGGCGATCCTATTGTATAAAGAAAAGAGATAGGAAAATTGTATAAAAAGAAGGAAGATACAGTGTCGTATACATGTACCATACATTTTCGATCGTTTGACTTTTACAGTCTATACGTAAACTCTGACACCAGATGTAAGTGATGATTTGCTCCTTATTATATGTATACCATAACTAAATTTGAAAACACCAAGGCCTGGTCATTAACTTTCCCTTCCTCAGTAGTAACACAGCAGCTTCGCAATCTTATGAAGTTTCCATTTCACGGTTGGATTTCGATACCGCACACTGTTTTAATAATCAAGATGGTTTCTACTGGAAAGGCCTACAACTACGCTACAGGAAAACATAAACCTGATGTTCAGCAATAAATTTGAAGTGTTGGCTTTGAGAAAGACTTGTTCCAATGTTTCAGGTAAC